TTAGACACACTTTTTAGCCACTAAAGCAATGACGTAAGCAGACAGCATGTACATACATGGAAATACAAGTGCAAGAAAGTGCTACATTTGAAACAGATAAAATAAGTTAACGCATATAGAACTTTAAGAATAAAACAGTATACATATTACGTTGTCAAAATATTTCGTCGCATTTAATTGCTTAGTCTCTGTCTCTTATCAAATCGTAAAAGAACAAAACATTCTAAACCTAATCACTTGGGATCAACTGGAAACGAAGACAGGCTGTCCTCGTATCAAAATGGATGTTCTCCCATTCGCAAGAAGTTTCATTTTCGCCATGTACTCACTTCATCCCTTTGAATTTAAAGGTGCTACAAATAGTGCAGGGGGGCCATTCAACGATCATCAACAAGTGTCAAAATATATTTAGGTTTGGATATTTCATCAAGACTAACATATATTTTCATTATCTACAAAGAAATCCTCTGGATGAACATTATTTCAGCTGATATTCCTCTTGAAACATGGTGGATCTTAAAAATCTATAAGTGGGACTCCCTTTATAGAAGCTTTGAATTGAATTTACACTTCTTAATGCTGAAATTGATAGTTTATACATACATTTTATGAAAATAGGTATGTCAAAGAAGGTATTAAGCCAAATATTGACCTGATAGCTCAGAAAAAATAAAAAATTTCGAATTTTCTCTCTACAGTCCTTATTGCCCCTTTAATCTCTATTTCTCGAACTAACAGAGTACGTAAATGTAGAATACGTTTTGGTTTCAAAGATGTACACGTCAACTTTACTAAATAAATGACCAGTGGATTGGGAAAGCTATTTTCCCTTTTATGAACACCCATCACCCATTGGAAAAATGTTGTTCCCTCTCAAAAAAGGCCCATGGGCCATAAAGAAAATTGGTTTAAAAATTGTACACCCCTACAGGTATGTATGTTGTTTACAGACTTGCCAATCTTCCGTTTTTTTACGGGAATCTCCCGTAAATTTTTTGTTTTTCCGTAAAAAATACCAAACTCTCGTACCGTTTCCTCCCGTAAAAAGTCCCGTAAACTCCCGTACCTTATTTCTACTAAAATCTCCCGTAATTATTTTTAAAAATATGGCCGTAAAATTTCCCGTATTTTTGCTGAAATCTCCCGTAAAATCTCCCGTATTCTGGTATAATTCCCGTAAAATCTCCCGTATTCTTGGTATAACTCCCGTAAAATCTCCCGTTTTCTGGTATAACTCCCGTAAAATCCCCCGTATTCTTGGTATCTCCCGTAAAATATCCGTTTTTTGCTGTCGAAATCTACCGTATTTAAAAGGAATTTGACAAATTTGTGACCTTGATTATTGCAGGCACGCTTCTTTCTTTTACTCCAAGAAGGATTGGCTCCCATGGTTCACTATCGATACTTTCATAAATAACTTAAAAGTACTTCATTCCCATGATTCAAATTGCTTTTCTGCGATCAGTTCGGTATGAGTTTGCACGCCAAATGTCCACAAACGGGGGCCAGTTCATATTCTGTCATACTTCTGTCGGGAGAATACATTTTGTTTTTATATGGAGCTAAATAAAATATTCCTGCAATATAAGGCGCATTATGGGTAGGGACTGCTGTGAAATAATGAACGTAAGTGACATCTATCTTAGATTATAAGTTTTAATTCATTTATTAACTGCGCATGCGTCATAATAATTTCAACCAATTTTTTTTTCACAAATCTACCGTAAAAACTCCCCTTTTTCAAAATCTACAGTAAAAACTCCTGTTTTTTCAGAAATCTACCGTAAAAACTCATGTTTTTTTCAAAATCTACCGTAAAAACACCCGTTTTTTCAGAAACCTACCGTAAGAACTCCCGTTTTTTCCGAAATCTACCGTAAAAACTCCCGTTCTTTCAAAATCTACCGTAAAAACTCCAGTTTTTTCTAAATCTAAAGTAAAAACTCCCTTTTTTAGATATTTACCGTAAAAACTCCCGTTTTTTCAAAATCTTCCGTAAAAACGCCAGTTTTTTCAGAAATCTATCGTAAAAACTCCTGTTTTTTCCGAAATCTACCGTAAAAACTCCCGTTTTTTCCAGAAATCTACCGTAAAAAGTCCCGTTTTTTTCAGAATTCTCCCGGAAAAACTCCCGTTTTTTCAGAAATCTACCGTAAAAACTCCCGTTTTTCCAGAAATCTACCGTAAAAACTCCCGTTTTTTCAAAACCTACCGTAAAAACTCCCGTTTTTAAAAATTTACCGCGAAAAATACCTTTTTTAAGGAATCTCCCGTAAAAACTCCAGTTTTTTCAAAGTCTCCCGTAAAAACTCCCGTTTTTTCAAAATTTACCGCAAAAACTCCCTTTTTTAAATCTCCCGTAAAAACTACCGTTTTTTCAAATCTCCCGTAAAAACTACCGTTTTTTTCAAAAATCTCCCGTGAAAACTCCCGCTTTTTTTCAAAAAACTCCCGCAAAAACTACCGGATTTAGAAAAAAACTCCCGTAAAAGTACCGCAATTTTTTTTAATCTCCCGAAAATTTTTCATTTTAGGTTGGCAAGTCTGGTTTATGTAAACGCCACTTTGCAATGAGAATAACATATTTAACTTTGTTTGTTTGAACATCTATAATATCACCTTTATATGCCCTTGTACTTTATCTTTTGACAGTTTTATTAAAAACCAGCCCATAAAGGAATCGTTCAGTTGATGAAATTTACTCTCAAATACACCCTTTACTAATGAAAGATTTCTCGTTCATAGAGCTGTAAGCTGTAATTTTTCGGAGAACTGGGTTTCGGAGAATTGGGTTTCGGACAACTGGGTTTCGGACAACTGGGTTGACCCCGGTATGACGGTTGCTATGGAAAAAGGATTTGATTGTCAAATTTTGTGAATTCATATAGATTTGGGAGGGGGTTCGTTCACAAAGAATACTACGCTAGGGTGTTATGCTGCAAAATAACATTGTTTTAAGATTTAGAAAAAAACAGTTCCCATCATATAAAAACTAAAACAATGATAACGAACGAAGTACGAACGAACCATTACGAACCATTTAAAAAGTGACATTAAAGAATGTTTCCATGACTCATACATCTTTTCTTCACTCTTGATCATTATAACCATGCCCACTACAATATAATATATAATCTTCTGACATTGCTTAGCTTAGATTCAAAATTTCCTAGTGTCAAATCTTAGCTGGATGATGGGTGGATGTAACATGGAAGGTCACGGGGGAGGTACCATGCTATCCAAATCAAAACCACAACAATACAATGAACAATTATCAGGCACGCAAAGTCCCTTGTTGGCATAAATGGGTTCAGTCACAAACATGCTGTTTATGAAATATGATTGATGAAGATAACACAGTTCACGTCCATTTGCGGCTTCATGGGCAACAGAACTGTAAATTTACATACAGTTGAGTATCTCCAACAGTATTGTACAGTACCGTTTGGACTATGGTACTATGGTACCGTAATATATGGTACCACAGACCAAAATAGTACTGTGCGGCCCCATGGGCACTGTACAGTACCATAATCCAATGGTACTGTAACTGTACGATACTATACTTTAATGTACCATGATTTAAGAGTGCAGATGGCTTTTTGAGTTTCTCCACTGTGAATACAGTATTAGAGTGTTCAGTTTGCAAGTTTCTTCAGAGATTATGAGTTGACAATCTATGAAAAAACCACTTAGTTACTCAGTTGTAAAAAAATATAAAGTTAGTGAGAGGGCACCACTGGCGGATATGGGGGGGGGGGGGGGGGGGCCCAGAAAAAAAAAATTGTGCCCAAAAAAAATTTTGAGCCAAAAAAGGCTTTAAGGCCCCAAAAAGTAGGCCTTTTAGGTCATAAATTGGCCTTGTAAGGCCTTATTTGTTAATTTTAGGCCAAATTTTGAAGAAAATTGGCCTCAAAATTTCAAAATTTGGGCCCACTTTTGGGTTTTTGGGGCCCAAATTTTTTTCCGCGCAAGCGCGGCGCAAGCGCGGAAGTTTTTTTCTCAGACCACAAGTTTGGGCCCCCCCCCCCTTGTTGGTTTCCAGATCCGCCCCTGGGCACCGTACTTGATACTTCGGAAGTTCCTGGGTACATTTGTTAAAGATTTTCTCTACAACCAAAGCATTTATTATGTAGCCTACCTCATATGTTCTCTGTAAACAAAACCAAATGAGAAGTCCTTTCGTTTGAACATTTTATGCTTAGAGGTCTTACAAGTTCTTACATGTAAAACGTACTAATGACTGGTCACCCTTGACCCGAACTTGTGATTAGTAATTTTATCTTCCCTGATAGCAGGGATTTAGGACTTTCTAGCCCGGGGGTTCACTCTAAATAATTTTGTTAGGTATGTGCAACACGGCCAATTTTGCACTAGGGGCAATCTGCGCGAGATTCCATTTTCAGGTTCGGTTTTTCGCGCATGAGCATTAAATTCAGCATATTAATTGGTTCAAATTATTATAACGCATGCGCAATTAATAACTTAGTTAGAACTTATAATCTAAGAAAGATGTCACTTACGTTCATTATTTCACAGCAGTACCCATAATGCACCTTATATTGCGGGAATGTTTTTGTTTAGCATATCAAACAAAAAAGTATTCCCCCGACAGAAGAATGACATATTATGAACTGGCCCCCGTTTGTGGACGTTTGGTGTGCAAATTTAAACCAAACTGATCGCAGAAAAGCAATTTGAATCATGGGAATGAAGTACTTTCATTAATGAAAAACCGAACCTAGTAAAAACCGAACCTCGCGCAGAATGCCCCTACTCCAATTTTGGCTTCAAGCATAAAACATGGCCTGAGAGGAAATGAAACCCCCGGCCGGGGCTTTCTAGTGCTCGGAATTAGTTCATCTATTTCATATCATACATCATGTGACCATGAATAAGTCAATGATGATCTAGAATAGAATTATGTATATTATAATAAAAAATGAAATATAAAGTTAGGAAGCACCATACTTGATATACTTCGGAAGTTCCAGGGTACATTTAAAACCGGCATTGTTCTACGTTCGTCTTTTTTATGCATCTATTTCGTTCAGTGTACATTTTCGTCCTCACGTTTAGTATTCTACTGCATCAAATTTTCTTGGATTTGTAAACTAGACTCTACCAGTGAATTATGGGTTGTATGTAACACATACATCACAAACTTTAGCTGTCTAATTTCAGGATGCCGGAACGTAAGTTATTTTACTGATTTTATTATAAAAGGACTAAGTTTGTACTGAGACTAACATAAAATGTTATGTAATTACTAGATTACTTTTTTCAAGGCCTGACTTCGTCGCTAACATGCTAGATATCTAAATATAAGAGTTAGCTGACGTTTGGGAGTCTGACTTACCTTCTAAAGGTTAGAACCCGAATCTTAATGAAACCATATTACCTTTGTTCCGTCAACCATGGAGCATTTGCCACAACATCCAAGAGGTAAATCATGGACCGAGAAAATGAATGATTTCCTTGTAAGTTCCGGAAGTTCCAATACGAAAAATTACCGAACATATATGAAAACCGAATATTTGTTCGTTGTTTTTAGATTTACAGGTTCGTATGTTCTTCAATGTTTTGGTCTAAATTATAAAGCATCACCAACAGGTCTTACTGTATAATCGACAAATACAGCAGACGGCTCATATTTTTACGTAGCATTTCGTTCAGACAAATAGTGGGACTGTAGATCACGCAGTTTCGTTCGTTGCGTACTTCACTTGAAATTGGTAATTTTAAATATTGGCTACTTCACTTAGCTTGGCGGATGTAGAACATTGCTTAATATTCTTTTAATTTTCACACCAGACATGCTTGGTTGACACGTCAACAAAGTAAAGTTCAAGGGTCAATGCGTTATTTCGTGATAACTACAACGCCTTCCCGGAAGTCAACATTGATGAAAAATGAAAAAGTCGGAAAAGCATTTACACTAATTTCTATCAAATGCTATGTTTATGCATCATCATCGACGCAACAAAGGTGATATGGTTTCATTAAGATTCGGGTTCTAACCCTTAGAAGGTAAGTCAGACTCCCAAACGTCAGCTAACTCTTATATTTAGCATGTTAGCGACGAAGTCAGGCCTTGAAAAAAGTAGTATGTTGTTAGTCTCAGGTTTGTATTTAGTCCAACAACATTAGACCTAGCCTGGGCCTCGTTTCTTATCTGACATGTCTTATGGCCCCGGCTAGGTCTAACCTCCATGATCATTTTGCCCTTGATGCGTTAATTTATCGTTCCGCGGGTTTCGACAAGCGGAACTAATTAAACCATGAAACCATGGTAATATTACACAAAGAATGTGATTCAAGCATGCATACATACCTTATGAATACATACACACCATCCCGTATCCGCCTTAGACCCTATTAATGCATAATTACGAAAATATTGGAGACAGATTTGGAATATAATGAAAATGTCGGTCAGTTTCGGTAACATCGAAATTGCAAATCGTATCTGAAATTAACCGTCATCGCGGCACTGCATTTACAAACAGTAGGTTTGCAATTAATAACTATTTTGCGTGTATACACGTGCTATATAAATCAATCAAAGATACCTGTTATCCTCAAAATTTATCTTTTAATGCGAGTAATCGCGATAATAATTATCAATCTATTTGACAACAATTTCGTTTCGCTAGTAGTTTAATTTTACGATCCGGGACCCTCGGACGAACAGACAAAATGACGGACATGCGGAAATGTCATTTTAGAGATCGGTAAGTGTGGCCTCATTTTGCGAGTATAAATGAACATTTAACACAATAATATTGTGTTAAATCGCTTGATGTTATGTGTTTTTATATTATTGTCAAGTATCAATTGCATGTTATCGCGGTGAAATGATTTCGATGGATCCAGAACTTGCATCAAAGGAAAGAATAGTAAAGAGGTTAAACTCAATAACGGCCCCAAAAAAATTCCTAATAGTAAAGAACACCGTTATTGAGTTTAACGACGTTGAACTAGTTTTTTGTATTATGATCATGCACAGGGGCTTGTCTTGAGGCGTTGGGCAAGCCCTCCGATGAGTGTACTGCTTATAAAGAGTAAAAAGGGAGCTCGGTTTTGATGCTTCCTGAAATTTGTAGAAAATGATTGTTAGATATATCCAGTAAAAACATAAGGAATCCTTTCAATAATCGACATGCTGATTCAAGCAACACTACAGAGCAAAGTTAGAGTCAGTACGTCTATTTCCAAACACCCCCATCAAAAAATGTAGTTAGCTTGGCTGTACTGCACATCTATGCTATGATTCCATATATATATTATGTGTATTATCCACTGTAGAATGCATTTGCAGAAAAAATTACGAAAAATTGTAAAAAATATCTGGGTTATTCCATTTTTACTACAAGGTATTTTAGGGGGGTAATTCCGAACAGGAGTTTTTTTGGGGGGTAAATCCGAACACTTGCATGGGGGTAATTCCAAACACTTAACTTAAACTTAATTGTTTTAATTATTAGATTTATGGTATATCATTATATGATACCCTTAACTTATGATACTGGATCCTGTCACCCCTGCATATCAAGAAACCCAAATTTAAATCATTTATTACTGACATCTATTTATTTAAACGCACAGAGTTTGTTGGGTAATTCAAAACACTAGCATGGGGGTAATTCCGAACACCTAAATCATCATAATTGATTATTTTATTGTAAGATTGTTGGTACACATCATTATATTGTATCTTTCAGGCTATAAATATTATGTAGAGGTAGTAGAGGTACTATTATTCAATTCAATGATCTGCTTGCCATTATTTGGAACCCGTTCGTGTTTACCCCCCTGTTTGGATTTGGACTACCTAAAATGGTAGCAATCCATCCACTAATTGCTGAGAAATCTGAAGAATATGTAAAGAAGTGATTAAAATGCAAATATTTACCAAAATGAATGTCTCCAAGGCTTCACACCAGCGTATGTATAGTGCTGATATATAATAATAAAGGGTATGTTTCAAACTAAACAGAGTGCCCCTACCAAAATGAATTTGCCTACATACTCCTGAGACTCTTATCTGATAGATAGATTGCACGTAAATGAAACAAAAGTTTTGCTGTTATAGGTAAAAAGTTCTCTTGAAATTTCGAAGTGATTTTACCTTTTAATTCTGTCCATGGTCCGCCATTTTTGCGGAAGTTACACTGAAACGCAAACTCCATGAAACGAAACGAAATCACTAGAAAAAACATTGTGCGCATGTGCAGCGAAGTTTAAACCAATCAGATTATTTGATTATTTCGCGCACATGAATTATTTGCTTCAAGCTTACCACAATAAACAAACCTGACAGAGACTACCCTTAGCCTACTTCATTTTGGCGAAATTTCAGCTCAAACTCGTGACAAATGCATTATGCATGCGCTGGTGTGAAGCCGTGGAGACACTAATTTTGGTAAATATGATTTATGGTGTATACTTTTCTGCAGTTTGTGGGAGTTTGGGACATTAAATGTGAAAATTCAATAAAATATGCCAATTATACGACTGATCAATTAATATCCACCAGCACTGTACAATGCATTTGTCACGAGTTTGAGCTGAAATTTCGCCAAAATGAAGTAGGCTAAGGGTAGTCTCAAGGCTTCACACCAGCGTATGTATATAGTGCTGATATATAATAATAAAGGGTGGGTTTTCAAACTAAACAGAGTGCTCCTACCAAAATGAATTTGCCTACATACTCCTGAGACTCTTATCTGATAGATAGAATGCACAAATAAAACAAAAGTTTTGCCATTATAGGTAAAAAGTTCTCTTGAAATTTCGAAGTGATTTTGCCTTTTAATTCTGTCCATGGTCCGCCATTTTTGCGGAAGTTACACTGAAACACAAACTCCATGAAACGAATTATATTCAGACTATAAGGCACCTATGTTAAAGTTTGGTAAATCTGAATATTTGTTTACATAGGAAGTGCTATTCAAAATGGCCGATTGGGTAAAATTAATTTGCAAATTTGTTACTTCATCTAGCTTTATTTCCACTTGATAATACGCTGTGTTACTTTTTATTGCATTTAATTGTACCTTACTATTTAGTTGAAATTTTGTAATGTTTATTTTATTGAAGATATGGTTCCTCTAATTGATAATTTTGTGCAAAAAAATTCACTGCAATTTCCACAGGAAAGTAGTACATCATAACAGACTGACTTCTAGTCAGTCTGTTGGATACATACTAGTCGACACCCGCACTAGATTTATAGATATCTATAGTCAAATCATAAATGTTTGAGAGTACTTTGAATTTAAAAAATAAGCAATAAAATGACCAAATTGAAGCAGTTTATGTAAAAATAGAAACATTTATATTCATCCTAACTTTTGTATATTTTAGTTTGTTTTGTGAAGTGGTTTTCTCCAACTTCCAGCAGGCGCGCTGGAATAAGTTAACGGTATTTAAGAAGATAATTGAATGTAACTTGCCCTTTTCATGACGATAAGTGACAATAAGTCCTACTTGTTGTGTAATTTGCAATAAAAGGAACATTCCTTGCCAGACTATTTCTCTCCTGATATGGTAGCTACAATCATATATATACTTTACATATTTAGCAAAACACAGGAAAATGTTTTCATATAGTCAATATTGATCATTTAAAAATGTAGTACTCATTCCCAGTAAGCTGCCATCTTTTAAGATTTCTTTCAGGAAGTGATGTCATCGACTCTCACCTATTATAACCTTGCCTATCACAGTATAGGAAAGAAGTACAAAATCACTTCAAGACAAGAAGCCCTTATCTTCTGTGTAAAAATATTTTCAGGAGTTGTCAACTTAGAACTCAAGAAGAGATCATCAAAGGGATTTAAATCATAGACAAAATTGAAAAAAATATACAGCTGGTTTAGAAATTCTAATAGCTCCTTACCTTATGTTATATGCAAAGTTGAGAGTCGATGACATCACTTCCTGAGTGAAATTTTAAAAGATGGCACTTGAGCCTACTGGAATTGAGCACTACATTTTTAAGTGATCAATATTGACCATTTCAAAACTTTTTTCCGTGTTTTGCTAAACTTGCAAAGTATGTATATGGTTATAGATACCATATTAAGAGAGAGATGGTCTGGCAAGGAATACCCCTTTAAAGTGGAGAAATTCCCAAACTGGTGCGCACCATTTTTTAACTTTTGCGCATGCGTGCACATGCGCATTGTAC